ATATAATAGATATTTGATTTCCAAAAGAACCACAGCCCACAGTGAGTAGAAACGCACAATATATTTATACAGTTACAATAAGCTATATTCCTATAAATTACCTTGTCACCCTTGTAAGTGAAATTGTCTTGTTTTGTATCTTGTCAACACTTCTTTATTTAGCTTGCATATTATTTAAACTGTTTCAACAAACATGTTTTATAAAATTATGTTTGATATCTATATCCAGAAACAGTTTGAAACAGTATTGTCACGCATTCGGAAACTGTCGGCGTAATGCCGTAAAGTTTAATTTACATGAAGTACATCGCATATAAATGGTCGGAATTCTAAATTATTTAAAAAAAATACTAAACAAAATGATATTAAACAAATGGCACACCGCGCACTACATCGTGGTTTTAAGTCTTTTACCTGATAATTTGTCAAGTGTTCTGCAAACAAGCAACAACAAAGATTGTATGGTATGTACGATGTAATCATTGTTTTACTGTTTATTTTATATACAGTAATACAGGTCTGGAAAATTTAATAGATGAGAGTTGCAAAACATGCAAATCTCGCTCATATTAAACCTCACGTATGTTTTTCGTATGATAGCCAATATAATTATAACTAGGAGCTAGAGTATAACCATGCACATGTCGAAGTACAACCATTGTATACAATGCAGTGCTCGATCTACATGCAACAGTGCACAAATTGCAGGATGACCTTATTATATACTCGTACTCATTGACTCTCATTATCATAGTCTCCTACTGTTGTTCTAACAGCAATTAGGCTTTGAGAAGCCATGTATATTATAGATTAATTTGTAGCCCAGCCACCATAGTCCATATAAATTGTAGCCCAGCCTCCACATTTTACACCAATAATGAAATTAACCAGTAACTCAATTTTGTTGCTGGTAGTGTAATGGAATCTATGGGTCTTTCTTAACCCCAGAATTCCCTAATTATTGTAAAGTCTGCATAAAGCAGAAAAAAGCTCTGTTTTTATTAACGACCGGAGCCTATTAAGTGACTAAATATTGTCAGCCTAATCCACTTATTTGATTTATCCATGTTGCACTACTTTTGATTGCAAAACACCTGGATTATACATGATTTGCCAGCAAAATAGCAGCAATTGATAAACTTGAGTACATTATTGACTGAATGTATCAAACAGAATGCATGTTGGCGAGTTAATGCGATTTTAAGCATGGGCGTACGGGAAGGAAAATATTAGGGGGTTGGAAAGAAGTGATTGGGGGGGGGGGAGAAGTGATTACAAAAAATTCCTATTAGATAGCATATTTCCCACATAATTGACAGAATTTCCCACAAAATTGACAGAATTTGTCCCATTTATTTCTATAATAAACCAATATTGCCCGACTGTGAAGCGAATATTGCCCGGCTGGCTTTGTTTGCCCAACAGAGCAAGGGGGCGACCGCCCAGCCAGAAACTGGGGGGGGCGGTCGCCCCGCCCCCCACCCCCACCCAGTACGCCCATGATTTTAAGCGATTTTAGGCGATTTAAAGCGATTTTAGGCGATTTAAGAGAAATTTGACCATTTTAACCCGCGATTTAATGCGATTTTGGGCGATTTTAGGCGATTTAAGGCGATTTACCGCCCCAGAGTAGGCCTTTCAACGTTTATTTTCAAAATTTAAACGTTGTAATCACAACGTTTAAATTTTGAAATACAACGTTTAAATTTTGAAACTAAACGTTAAAGCCACTCCTTATAGAAACGTCTGAAAATCTTCCTATAGAAACGTCATCGTACAACCGTTAAAACTAACGCAACAACTATTCGCATTTAACCGTCTACCTCATGAATCCGCAGTAACTAGCGTCCAAGGAAACACTGGACGATTCAAAGCGCCCATCAAGACCCATTTCCAAGCTTCTCCGTTGCCCGCCTTTACAAGTTTCTCCGTTACCCGCCATGCATCACGACAAACAATACAATATTTTGAAATCACCACTTGCACGCGCAAGACAAGAAGAGTATTCGCTGAATATATTCTCCATGTGAAGGCAGCTATAGTTCCCAGGTATTCATAAATGTTGACTACTTTATAGCGGCTAGTTACCATTTTATTCGGCGACTACATACTAGTTAATTTTACTTGACCAGGGGAGCTCCAGTTGCGAAATGTCAAAAATTGTCTCGGCCGGCACAGAAGATTTTAGTTGTGTGCGGATATATTGTTTCCTCATAGCCAGATGTTATAATATTAAAGTGCTGTCATTTTATACTACATTATTATTATCAATTTTCAAGCTTTAAAATAAAACAATATGAACATTTGAATACTATATTATAGTAATACAAATTAAATGCCAAATTTAATATTTCTTATAGCATGTACAGCAATTCTCGGGCTTTGCAGTCATAAGTGTGCTGAAAACAGCTCTCGGCATGATTTGCCTGCCATATAGAAAGTTGGGGGGTTTTCTTCAGCCGCTGAATAGACCATTTACTACTAGACCTCAAACTGTCTAGCCTGCGAACAGGCTCTCAAGCTGAATTGAGAGCCTGCATCGATGACTAATGAATTTGAATATCTGCGTCTCAAATCGTGACGCGAAATTCTCATTGGTCAGATGCTATAATTTATATGTTTCCGCTGAGCTCTATATATGTCAACTGCTGAAGCACTATGCATAATAAACACATTAACTGATCAAATTGGTCTTGGTCGTCTTATATCAAAGCACGAAATGTTCTGTTTTGAGAAAACAGTATTTAAAACATTTGAACTTTTGCTTTAATATCTTATATTTCGAAAAACAGTATAAACTGTACGGTCTAAATTTAGTTTGCACGGTCTAAATTTAGTTTGCACGAAAGTTGTAAACAACTCCAAATAAGGCAGACATTCCATATTTGGAAAAACGAACGTTACGGGGCAGATATTCAAATTCATTAGTCATCGATGCCGGCTCTCAATTCAGCTTGAGAGTCTGTTCGCAGGCTACAAACTGTCGGAAAATGGGTTCAATTTTTGGCATTTCTATATATATAAGTTTGGGAATTTAAAAATTTTCCAATTAATTAAAGTATACTATGTAGATTAAAAATGGAAAATTTCAAGTTCAGTTAATCACTTCCAGTAATTAAAAAAAAATTATGCCATTGAAAATTTCACAATAAATTTTTAATTTAATGCTCAAAAATATAAACATCCGATTATTTATATGTCTTATCAAATACTATGTTGGCACCTTAATTAAAATGAGTGAGTAGTGACTCACTTGAATGTAATCTGCATTTAATTAATTCCGTTAAATGAGAGAATATTAAATACTATATTAATTTTGACAGACATTGTTGGTACTGTTTATATTAACAGCTCGATTTAATGGCGTGAAAATAAGGAATGGCGCCATGAGCGCGTACCAAACGTCACTGAACAAGCAATATAGATATGGATAACATGCAGACGACTGCGACTTCATTATGTTCTACGCCCGTTTTGCCGTACTACCATATTGTCTTAAGAATGATATTTGCCGTCATCGGATTATTATCTAACAGTCTACTACTTGTTGGACTGATAAAGGATCCACTGAAGTGTTTTAGAAATTCTTCATCATATTTCGTCACAAACCTTTGTGTTTCGGACATTCTAACTTCCCTTACGGTGATTGTGATAACTTTCTGGCGTAATTCTTGTATAGACGGAGTACGTGTGTATATTTTTTTCGCGTACCGTTGTATATTTCTTTCACTAGTATTTTAACAATGGCCTTTGACCGTTATATCAGTTGTTGTCATCCATTGAAATATAGAATTTTCATAACCAAAATGTTTACCAAGTGCCTAATCCTACTACAATGGTTGTTTTACATTGTCGAATCAATTTTCGAATTGTTTTACGAAAAGTGGTTTTTCTATCCAAGATATATAGTGGGTACATGCATTGTACTCAGTTCCGTCATAATGTATGCCAAAGCAGCCTATGTATTGAAGAAAAATTCAAGGTACCTGAGGAGCATAATGGATCAACCTTCATCCGTTGTTCGACATCAAGAAGTACGACTGTTGAATGAAAAACGCTTTCTTTCTACAATATTCATGGTGTCCTGTATTTCGGTAGCAACCTTTTGCCCTTTGATCATATACGATTCAATAAACGGAGAGCCCTATTATTTGAACTATGCGAAGCCTTGGTCCTTTATAGATATTATTAAATGGGGGCTTTTCACCTTGTTTTTTCTCAATTTTTGGATAAATCCTTTTGTGTATAGCTGGCGCTTGACAAGATATAGAAAAACTCTTTTGGTGGTTCTCAGGAAATTTGAGCAAAGGCCTTAAGATATCGGGACTTACTGGGATAAGGCAATAAAAAGTTTGTTTGCTTCATTTGTGTAAGAACTTTTAAAGTAATCTGGATAAATAATTTATTCTCAGGCTTTACACATGCATGCAAGTAATGAATGAAAATAAATAGGCGGAAACTTATTCTGATTGTATATTGTGTTATAGTCGGAAGGGTCATGAAAATTAGTGTGTCTTCAAAACCTAATTTGCTCTATTGAGAGCACTGGAAATAGATCGGGCGTGAAGGGAGATGGGAGGGGGTGGACAGTGTATCCAAAAATATTCTTTCAAAATGAAAAATGCCCATAGGCCTCCACCACATACATTATATATGATCGTCGCTCAAGAACTTTTAATTTATTTGCATATAATTATGTACCTTAATTATATATAATTTTGATTAGACATTTTAATTACTTCATATATACACTATTTATGTTATTTTACTATGTAGCTCGACATGACAGCATGAAGTAAAGCCAGGGGTTTTACCAGCATGAAGTAAAGCCAGGGTTTTTTTTAAGTCCAAGTCCTATAGCTATACTAATATATATATATATATATATATATATATATATATATATATATATATATATATATATATATATATATATATATATATATGGGGCTATGAGGGCTTGGCAGATCTCAGGGTTATTATTATTGACAAAAAAAAATATGAATGATCCTACGCAAAGAGAGGCATTTTGGGCATATAATTTGGACACGTTTGTACCTAAGGGATTAAATGTAAGGGATTTTGGGTAATTTATGTTAATGAATTGAATAGGATATAAAAGCATGTACATCAAACTCTGTTATTTATCCTTGATAAAGGGGCATGCCCCGAAACGTAGGATAAGAATAAAGTCTTAAAAAAGACAATGTCGTAAAACACAACGCTGAGAGAGTTAAGGAAACTGTTCAGACCAGACACGTCCGTAAACTCGCTAAGTTAGGCGCCACAAACAGTAGCGATTACATTGACAAGGACAGATGGGTAATTAACCTATCCGGCCATCAACTAACACCTGCCGAGACAAGAGTCCTACAATATGGTTTCAATTTTGCACCAGCACCGAAAGCAATCCCTGTACCAAAGATCGTAGCAAGTATAGAATCAGGAATTCGAGACCTCCCTGAAAGTAACAAAGAATCCATACGCGCTACCGTCACAAATATCCTGAAATACAGCAAACCACCAACAACTTGCAACCTTTCACGCCAACAAAAGCTCGCTTTGAAAAACCTGCGCGAGGATAGTAGCATTACAATTATCCCTGCTGATAAAGGAAAAGCCATCGTCGTCATGGATAACGACGACTACACCAGTAAAATCAGTGGCTTATTGAGTGATAAAGAAACGTACTCAAAAATCACAGATAGACAAAGAAAACCAGTTTCCAAAGTAGAAAAAGATCTGATCAAGGTACTCTCCAACATAAAGGAGACACCCTCAGAACACGATCCTGATAAATCTCAAATACATAAACACCTTTACCTCCATCTCCACTCCACTGATGGCACACCAGCAAGATTCTACGGGCTTCCCAAAATCCACAAACCTGCGGTACCACTTCGCCCCATTACAAGTTGCATTAATTTCCCAACATACAACCTCTCGAAACACTTGGTCAAAATATTATCCCCACTCGTCAGAGGGACATATACAGTTAGGAACAGTTTTGCCTTTTCTCAACAAATTAGACATCGACAAATTGCAGACGATGAAGTCATGGTATCATTCGATGTTGTATCCTTGTTCACATCTATTCCCACCAAACTAGCCCTACAGGTGATCAAACAGAGGTTGCAACAAGACATAT